GAAAAGGCTTCCTACGGTTATTTGGCATGCTAAAGTGGAGAAAAATTAAACTTAAACATATCAGTCACTGAGATCACTGTAGACACTTACCCAATACAGTATGTTTTGAATGTCATATTTTTCTGTTGGGACAGTAGTGAACAAAGCTAGTAAATGGCTGTAAATTATTTGTGTACATATAGCATATGTATATGTATATACAAAGCAGTACTTTGGCCATGAAGCAGTAGTTTGCAAGATATTGATGGCATCAGGCAAAATTGTTTTGTAATTAAATGCTTAGCTTTACTTTTTATGTAAAGTGCAGCATTTTTCCATATTTGTGTACTGTATCTTATTGACCAGATGTTTAAAATTATTTTACATACTACATTAAAGCAATTATTTTATTAAAGTAATGGGTAAGCTTGCTCCATAAATACGCAGTCTTCAGAGTGTTTGAAAAGCGAAAGTTCAATGAGTAAGAAGAGTTGCAGTTTAACCATTCAAATTATTAAAAAGCAAAACAGAGCTTCCTGTACATACATCTATGGGACTGATTACCATGACTAACATATTAAATTCCCAATAAACACAAATGGGGAACAAAATCAGCAAGGTGCTCTTTAATAGAAATAACCTCCAAATTGACAGCTGAAATGCAAAATATTGCTCTCAGGAATAATAACTCATATCTGTGCTAGATTTGTGTGTGTGTATAATATATAAAAATATCAAGAGAAAAAACTTTTTAATCTGAACAGGAATTAATTCAATGTAGTATTTTTGGTGCCTGTTTAGTATTTCCTTCATAAAATAGAAACACATGGACACTTGAGGCCCTGAAGCCATTGTGTCTCTATTGTCTTCATGGCAGGGGATAGGCCAACATAGAGAAGCGTATCTCAATAACCTTTTATTGGACTTTTAAGACTTTCATACCTGAATGAGATATAACTCAGGGTTATTTTTGTAATCTTTAGCAGTTTGCTAACTTAACACTGGGAATGTACGATAATATATTTTGAGTTACTTGTCTAGAATTTGCACAGGTTATATCATCTTTGAGTTACATGTTCATATAATTGGCCCCTTAAATGTTGTCCAGATCATGGTATGATTCCAACATTCAGAATATGGTGCCATTCATTTCTAATGCTTAGATTCATCACCTACACAGATGTGCATTAAAAACACGTCACATACCTCTCTAAACAGTTACGTTCCTACATAATTACATTTCCTGCACATTGACTTACACAATTGTTTTAAAATCTGTTTAGAGTGAATCTGACACATCATCTGTTTCTCAGTAACTGAAAGCCAATTCATATTGGTTTACTTCCAAAATCTGTCAGTTAAGTTTTGAGTTGTTTGGTGTGACAGCCTTAATAATTAAAATTGTTTGTATAGGTTCCTTACTGGTATTCCCAGAAGTTGGAAAGGGCTGTGTATTTTATAAATGAATGCATACTGTGTGTGGCAGCTCAGACCTGAATAATGTGGAGTGACTATCTTTCTAGGGGAAATATTATCTCTGGTGCAACTACTGATTTAATGATATTCCCAAATGTGACAAATAATAAATTTGCCAGTAAGAATTGGGAGAAGATGGAAAAAAGGGAAGTCGTGTAAGATTTGTTTTTATACATTAAATCCTTTGATGCCTTGTGATTGGTTGGGGAGAGGGTAACTTTAAAACAGTTCAGCTGAGTACTCTACACAGTATGCTGAGTTGTGCAGGGAAGATATTCTTTTGAAAAACATTTGATCATTTTGGAATGATCAAGGAGGACAGTAGTAAAAGTAAAGGCATAATTCGAAGGAAGGAAAATAATTAGCTAGAGCTGCTCTTTGCTCTGTTTCAAGTCACTTTGAAGTATGTTCTCTTGCATTCTGGCACCAGTATGTGTCCTCTAGAATTCTTTCAGACTAACAGACTGGTTGGTATTCATCAGAGGAAGAAATGTGTGAAAACCTCACACTTTTCAGTCCACTTCACATTCTGTCCAGTCCTTTCCTACATGAGTCTTGGTTCTGAAAAAATCTATTGTAGTTCTTTACACTCTCCCTTGTTCCCTGGGAGCTAGCTGGGTAGCTGCCTGGGGCGCCAACCTGTGGGGGGTGCCTGATGGCAGCTGCAAGGGGCACCGTGTGCCCAGCCCCCGCCCAGCTGTGCAGCGCCCCTTAGAGCTGCCATAAGCTGCCATGCGCCCAGGGCCACGGGCTGTGTGGCACCCCTTAGAGCTGCAATCAGGCAGTGCGCACCTGATTGCAGCTGTAAGGTGTCCAGCGGCCTGGGGGTGGAGCCACGCATGCGTCGCGCGCCCGCTGCCCTGGGCGCAGGAATGGCTCGAGCCGGTCCTGCTTGTTCCATCTTGAATAAGTGCCCGAGGAACACCAAAAGTTTAAATCTGCTTAGGCTTCATTTTGTCCCATTAGAGTTCTACTGCATTTCAGTGATATCAACTGATGCAAATTTACAAACTGACCAGTCAATCACACACCTTATGTGGAATGGGAAATGTGCAATCAGGCACCTGCAGAGACAAAGTGCAGTACTGTGTTACACGTAAACTATGAAAAAAGGGGGGGAGGGGCATTAAGGTTTGACATGATAAGGAAACTTTCTCTGCTTGTTTTATTTAAATTAAAATTAAATTAAATTATTTAAAGTGGTTAAAAGCATAATTTTTCTTTTGCATAGTAAAGCTTTAAGTCAATGTTCAGTTGTCAACTTTTCAAAGAACAACCATGACATTTTGTTCAGAGTTCTGAACATTTCATCGTTATGAACACCTCATTTTGAACACCTCATCTGAGTGGAGGTTGGTAACTGAGCTTCTACTGTGTTTTCAGTGCAAGGATAAAGTATCAACTCTGTTCCTCCATCTCTTTTCCCCTACCCCCATTTTTTCCCTTGGGTCAATGTTGCCTGATACAGACACGGGGATATGTTTAGACTGCAGGCTTCTTTTGAAAGAAGCTTTTCTGGAAGAGATCTTCCAAAAAAACTTCTCCCTAAAGAGAGTGTCCACACTGCCAAAGTGCATTGAAAAAGTGATCTGCTTTTTCGACAGCATCCACACTGGATGCTATCTTGCATGTAAGCTGTGATTACTATGGACGGAGTAGCCACCAGGGCACCTGTGCTTTTTCCTCCTTCCTCTTCTTGTGAAAGAACTCCTTCTTCCCCGTCCACACATTCCTTTTTCCAAATAATCTCTTTCAGAAAAAGTGTTCTTCCTCACAAAATGAGGTTTACCAATGTTGAGAAAACCCTGCATTCTTTTGATTTTTTTTCTTTCAAAAGAATGCAATAGCAGTGTGGATGCAAGTGAAGTTTTTTTTTGGAAAAATGGCAGTTTTTCCGAAAAAAAAAAACAAAAAAAAAACCCTGCAGTCTAGATGCACCCTGGGTGGGCATAGAAGGATGCAGAGGAAGGAGGGTAAGTAGATCTGTAGCATGTCCCATATTTAACTTCCTTTGAACTTCAGTTGTGTACTGACCTGAAAGTAGTGTAGACCTCTGCTTCCTAGAATGGAGAGTTTGAAGAAGATACTTTGAAAGGGATTGTCTCTGGAATGGACTGGTCAAATCCTTGAGACTTGTTCTGCAGCTGCAGTCAGAATTTCTAATCTATCTCCTGCCACTCAGGTGAGTGCAGCTGGAAGGCCCTGAACTGAGATTGTCAATAGCACTAGGCCCTTGTATAAAACCAGGATACTCCATGTGAGTGGGATGTAATAACTAGCCTAGAACAGCTGCAGGGCAGTTTTGAGTTTCACAACCTTTTCCAAGGTGGTAAAAATGCCGAGAGCATAGGTAGAGAGAGGTTTACTGGGGCAGCAGATTTCCCCTTCCTTGGTCATCTGAGTGGTGTAACTGGGCAAATGGCACAGCCTCTCTTCCAACTGTAGCACCTGGCCCTATCTCCTATACAGAAAAAAAAAAGTGGACCTTTAACTTGAAAAGGTTGGACACTACTGTTCCCTTGGGGTGCGTCTAAACTACATGGCTCCATGGACAGAGCCATGTAGATTAGTTTACACGGAAAAGGGAAATGAAGCCGCAATTTAAATAATCGTGGTTTCATTTACATCAAAATAGCCGCCGCGCTGTGCCAATCAGCTGATTGTTGGCTCAGCGCGGTAGCCTAGACAGGGATCTGCCAACCCCAGAACCCTTCATCAGCAGATCCTGTAAGCCTTAGCACAGCGCGGTGGCCATTTTGATGTAAATGAAGCCGCGATTATTTAAATTGCGGCTTCATTTCCCTTTTCGTCTAAACTACA